ACACTGTAACCTTACATTAATTTATTATTATAAATAGAAAATGAATAATTTAATAATACATTAGCTTTGTATTATTCGATTTAATGATAAATTTTACTCCCATTCTATTGTAATTTAGCAATTTTGAATTTGTAGTATCAAATCTTATAATTTCAATCCTAAAGTATTGAAGATTAAGCAAATATGGTTTAAATTGTTAAACTTTTGTTATATATAATGGTTAATTCAATTGATAGTTACTTAGAATGTCAAAACTATATCGTTTGAACATTTCACTCGTTAATTATGTTTTTTAATAAAAAAAATTAAAAATATTTTTAAACCTCAATCTTGATTTTTTTAATATTTTGGTTAAAAATATTGTAAATATTTTTTTAAAACCCATCTATATTATTAATATAACATTTGATGTTGTAATAAACTTATTAATAGAATATAAGAAAATGAGTTAAGAGATAAAATAATATAAAGAAATAGACAATATTAAAAAGGGACAGGAAGCAGCAGAACCAGGAATTTATGAGAAGAGACAGAGGCTAGTTGTCTACCTACCAAAAACTCCCTTCATGCTCTTTTCCAACCTTACACACATGATATGATATGCCAAGGCGATCCGCCCCTATAAAAATAGGTATATTTTTTATTTTAATAAAATTAGAGTAATTAAATTTAATAATATGATATGCCAAGCAGATCTTAACCTATCTCTTGGGGAGTTGATTTACTTTTCCTTGTTCGAGGGGCCAAGTAAGCTCTTGGGGAGAAAAATAGTAAGGTTCTGTTCATTTGGGGTTGTTGGCATTAAAAGAGGGTGTCTTTTTCATTAAAATAACCACAAGCTTATCCTCTAGTTGAGACCCTACGAATTTCAAACAGGTTGAGAGAAATGATTCGATCGATGGAATGAATCCTTCTTTACCAGTTTGTATGTTATTCGTTTGTCCTGTTAGATAAAAATAAAATGACACCAAAGAGTCCTTCTTTACCACGCTAGGCGGTAATGGTAAAAAGATAATTCACATAATGCAATCAAAAGACAAAGTAGTTTATGATCCAATTTCGAAAGCATTCTTATCATTTGGTAGATCCAAGTTCATGGCTTATTTTGGGTTCACTCGAGGTGTGATGTACATGCACTGATTTTAAGAGGGTGAAACACTTCTTTGTTTGGGTCTCATGTTTGTCATCTATACAATTTAATCAATTATTTGATATCAAAAATAAAAAAGTAGACAATGTGTTTTTCCATCATTTTACACTATTTTTTTATTTTTCACAGCATTATGATACCAAACATACCTTATATCCAGGGGCGAATTTAAAGTGTCAAATGCCCCTCTGATGAAACAGAAAATAGGTTTTTATCAATCACAACATGCCCCCACTAGAACAATGGATGAAGCATGCCTTTGATCAAACTGCATGCTCTGTTCATTCTGAAAGAATGGTGTGATATAGGTATAACTAGTGCTGAGGCCCATGCGTTGTCATGGCTAAATCGATAAAATTTGTTTTAATATTATTTCAATCACTTACGCTATTAAACATGATGCAATAGTGAGAACTGGATTTTTTTACCCGCAAAATATATAAAATCATTTAGAAAAATGATTTCAGTTTAATAATCTATTTTATGATAAAAATAATTATAATTTTTGAATAAAAAATTTTATATTTAACTATTTCTTATTTATGTTTTTAAATAATATAAATAAATAATAAAGAAAATAAATTATTGGTTTCTTTAAAAATTTTAACGCCCAATTAATTATTAGTTTCTTTAAAATTTTAATGCCCAACCTTATTAAGAAATGAAAATTAAAAAAAAGTTCAAAATTTTTTTTTTTTTTGAAAGTGGGCTAGCTACTTATTGTTCATGTAAACAAGTAAACGAACGAAAATTTTTTTAAAAAAATATTCGGTGTTTAGAAAGAAAAAAAGAGAAGGGGGAGGGGGGATGAGTTGTTTATTGTTTAAATGAACAATCAACAGGACAAAAAGGCCAATGTTGGTAAAAAAAAATTAAAATTTTTTTTTAAACCAAAGCATTGTAGCAATGAACAATAATTACTGTTTATTTTTATAATGAAAAATCATTTTTTTTTAGTTTGTAATATAATATAATGTGTAAAAGTCATAGTCTCGTTAAAATGTGAATTTTATAAAACTAACTAGTTGCGATTAAGTTCTGTCTAAAAAAACTCAATTATCACGATGGATAGTTTTTTTCTTTTTTAAAAAAAATTTATATATTTTTAACACTCTTTTTATTTCTTAAAAAATTGTTATTTTTTTAAAAATATTATGATATTATATAGAATTAGTCAATTGAGATCAAATTTCTTTCAAAAAAAAATTATGTCTTAATGCCTAATTCTCAATTTTATATATTTTTTATTTTTTATTTAAGAATTCATACAATCTCTATTAAATTGCAACAAGTTTTCTACACAAATTTTAATTCTTGTCAATTTTGTCTCTCAAGACAAAAAAGATGGAAAGCTCGAGCTTTATCATAGGCTGGGTTCGTGCCAGACGAAACAAGTCAGAATTGATTTAATTCAGTCCCATAAACAAGTATAATTCTAATCATTAACTAGTGGAATGTGAAATTGTTATTTATTTATTTTTGGGTGAAAATTACCCTTTTTGTTTGGAGGGTAAAGTTTAACCGGGATGAAAGGTTATTTTACATATTTTTTTCATTTAAAATTTTTGTACTAAACTATAAAAAAGAGTGAAAAGTTGCATGGATTTTTTTTTTATCTTTTTCTTTTTCCCTTCTACCAAACATATATTTAGAATTATCTGTATGATCCCCGTTGCTTGGGTCCGCGTTAGCAATATTTTACACAGCAAATAGTGATGGAAATTTGGCTCCAGGAAAGCGACAACCATTCATGATTTGTCCATTCGGCAATTTCTATTCTTATTTAAAAGCATTATAATTATAATTACAGTGCATTAAAATTACAAATTATAAAATATTTATATAGTGTATAGTGACAAACTAGTTACTTTTTCACACTAGGCAATGGATCCGATAAAAAAGAAATTTTAAAATTTAAATTTTTTTTAATTATAATTTTTTATTCACTTAATTTTTTTATTTTTTATTTTTATAAATTTTCTGTTTAAAAAAACATAAATTATTCTCCTTTATGGATTGATTTTAAAATAAAAAAATATAATAATTTTAACTAAAATATTAATCAAGAATTAAAAAAAATTTAAAATATAATTTTCATGATATTGTATTCTAAAAAATAAAGTTATAATTAATGGATAGACTTTTACAAAAATTAACAAATGAGAAAAAATTCTTATTTAATGTTAATGAGAAGATTAATTTTTGCAATTATCTATGCAATGCTATAGGTAGATAGAACACCTAATTAAATAAAAAACCATAAATTTATGGAAATTATAAAAAGAACACCTAAGTAAAAAAAAAAGATTATATCATATAAATATAAAAAATATCGTATATATTATATAATAGTCAGTTTGTGTAAAATAATAATAATAATAATTATTAATTTTTTAAAATTTTAACACCTAATTAAATAAAAAAAGAAAATAAATTGATGAAAAAAAAAGCAAAATTGATTTTTCAAAATAACATAAATTGATGAAAAAAAAAGCAAAATTGATTTTTCAAAATAACATAAATTGATGAAAATAAGTAAAGGAAAAAAATATGTGTAGTGCACCGAGTTAAAAGATTAAAATTTTTATTTTAAAATTTTTGAGATCAAAATAAAATAAACTTGAAAAAATTAAAAAAAAATTAAAAAAGAAGAAGCTAAATTAAAAAAAAAAAAAAAAAGAGGGGAAACATGTATAGTGAAACTAAAACTAAACTTAAAAAAAAAAAAAAAACAAACGACAACAACTTGCTTGTAAAAAGTAGAAGAAAGGCCGACAAAGAGGAAAAAAAAAGTTAATAGTGAAGTGTTTGAAAAAAAAAAAAAAAAGAGCCAAAAATACTGTTCATTGAAAAGTGAAAGAAACAATAAAAATAAACAATGAAACAGCTTTTTCTTTTAGAGTATTTGTAATTATTTATTATTCAGTAATTTAACAAATTATTCCATAATTATGCTAGTTATTAATAATATTATATAATTACAATTCAAAAATATATTGTTATATTTAAAAGAAAAATAAATATTATTTACTTCGTAATAAATAATCAATTATGAATGGTTAAATATATTCATTTAATGAATCCTAAAAAAATATTTTATCTTTATATGATTTAATTAATTGTTCCGCAATGATGATAATTATGAATAATTAAATATAATTTTAGTAATTTTTTTTTCTTAACTCCAAAATAATAATAATTTTTTTTAAATTATAATAAAATCATTTTTAAATGATTATGAATTAAAAATAATTTAAAATAATTATACTTGTAAATATTATTTTTATTTCGCGAAACTAAAAAAGCTATAATTATAGTACTTCAAAATAACCATAGCGAGCGACTGTTACATTCCCATTTGCTCATCTACAGAAATTATAGCACTCAAGGAAGCACTTGCCCCAACGTCCTTTCACACAATGCCCTGTGAATAAAATAAGAGAGGATTGAATTTGGATTTTTGTTTGAACTTGGGAAAATCTACACTACCTGTTTCATTTTATTATTATTATTTACTTACTGTGAAATTGTTTGACACCATTCAGTGCAATAAATACTTTTGTCAGCTTTGTAAGTAACGCATGCGCCTGTGAAGGAAGGACATGGGTTGTGGGTGGTCTCCCTTGTCCCACGAATACAATGACAATGAATCAAGTAAAAGGGATAGCAATGACGCACACAACGCGATAATTGATATTCGCTCAGATTGCCAGAATTATGGGCTTCCTAAACACCGAGCTGGAAACGTCTTTTTCTGGCGTGCTTTGCTTTCATCCACACATCTAATATTCCAATCTTATCAGATAACTAATGGAGCCACTGGGAAGGCATTTCGCTGGGATATCCCGTCTTAAGCTCCTGCCTCTCCCGTTAATTTTACGACCATTCGATGGAACTCCGCCTTGTGGAACCTGTCTATATTTTGAAACGTTATTCAAATACTATAGAGATATTTATGTTCAATTTAAAATCATTAACTATACTTTTTTTAAAAAATATTTTTATTTTCAAAATAGAGAAAGCAATTGATTGAAATGATGAATTAAAATTTAGTCAGTAAAAAAGAAAAACTTGTATTACTTTAATATATTTACTTTTTTAATTTACAAAATAATTGAGTAATTGTATTTTTTTTATTTTAGTATATTATTTTAGAATTAATTTCGTATTTTTTTCCCTTTGCCTTTACAAGCAATCAGTTTAAGGCGACAGGCAGAAAGCGTGTGGGCATGAAATATATATTCCATGCAAAAGATTAAACTTTACGACGACGACTGATTATTTTATAATTTTATATATTAATTAATTTTTATTTAAGTATTCAATGTAAGATATATTTTTTAGTACTTTTCTTCATTTGTAACCTATTTCTTTGAAGTTTGTCAACTAGTTTGGATCGAATTTTATTTAAAAGATTTAAGTTTTATTGTGACTGATCATTTCTCGACTTTATATGTCACTTATTTTTTTTTTTAACTATTTATATGAGATATGTGCTCTCATATTTCTTCTCACTTGTAGTCTATTTTTTGAGATTTGTTAAGTGATTTGAGCTATAGAATTATTGTTAGGCCGTTAGTTCTTTTTTAAGTTCTAATATCATATAAAGTTAAATAGTTAAGATTAAGTTTTATCTAAAAATTTTAAATTTTATGATGAATAACTCATTCTCAAGTTAATATATTACTCATCTTTTATTTATTTTTTCATTGGGAGATCTATGTTATAACAATACAAATATTAGAAAGATATGGGTTGCATTGCATGGCTAAAACAGTGGAGGCGGCGTGAGAATGCTTTGTGGGTTGACCTGAAAGGATAAAGAACTTTGGGTTTTTCTCCTTTCAGGGAAACTGACAAAGCATTCTCATGCAGCTTTCATAATTTTAGCCATGCCATGCAAACCATTTTGGATTCGGATCGTTAGGCATTAACCCAAAGTTAATTGTAATATTATATGGATTAATACCTAGTGATTTGTGATAATAGTTATAATAATAATAATGGTAGTAATTGGTATAGACACTAAATCAAATAAGAGCATTGCAGGTGGTTTTTTTGCTTCTAAATACGGTTATAACCGTCTCTACATTATGTAGAGGTAGTTTTAAGGACTCGTCCCAAGATTGCCTATAATGCCGCCGTCTCTACGGTATAGGGGCGGTTTTAACAATCGTCGGGATTTCGAGACGGTTTCTTGGGGCGGTCCAAGCCGCATCAAAATTTTTTTTTTTGAGGTGGTTTGAACCGCCTCTATAATGTAAATTTTATCATCTCGTTTCTTTTTAGGGTAACTATTGCGGCAGTTGAGAAGCGCCTATACATTGTCGAATTTTTTAAAAATCCATGAGAAATAGTTGAGGCGGTTGCAACCGCCTCAAGGTTAAAATTTGTAGAGGCGGTTACAACCGCCCCAAGATTAGAATTCGTAGGGGCAGTTCAAACCGCCCCAAATTATATAATTTATAGAATTAATTTCAGAATTCATAGAAGCAAATTTTATAATTCATAAAGAGGGTTGTTTAACTTTCGCCTTCAAATTTAATTGTTGAATGTAAAAAAAATTAAAATTATATAGCTACCACAATATTCTTAAATTTATAATTATCAAATTCTAAATACATAAAAAGTCATCAAACATTCACATGTTAAAAAAAAAAAAAACTAAATAAAAAGCCGTCAAACATTCGTAATATTCTTAAACACTTTGATATCAGCAACGAGCAATGATAACCACTCGCTTCTTCCCGATCATCACCGGGAACTTTAGCTCTTTCACAAAAGGCTTCTAGCATATCACGAAGCTTCCAATCATGGCATCTAAGAAAAGTTGTTAACAACAAAATCATAAAAATGAATGAGACATAAGAGAGATAAGAGTTTAAAATATCATCGGCAGCTCTACGTTGAAGCTCGGCGAGATCTTGTTGAATCACCGCCGAAATGTCATCATTGCCTTTTTTCTTGACTTTCGGTTTCCTCAAGGATGAGGTAATGTCCCGTAGTCCATCCCCTAGGTTACAAATAAATATTTAACCCAATCACATAAAACTAAATCTAAAATTTTGCATACATTAGGGGTGTATTTCGACTGGTGATTTTGAAATCCATCATAATCTCTTTGTGCTTGAAATGAAACCGGTATACTTGGCTCAATGGACTTGCTTTCAAATGCAGCATTTCCAAAAATTTGCCTCCTACCCGAGAAACTTGAACAAATGCAATAAGCCACAAGCACAACAACTCTTAAGTGTTACGTATGATATAAATAAAGGTCAGTTCAACTTCAATTAAAGAACATTTAAAATCTTGCATGTTGAATCAACATATAGAAACCAAAATGATTTTCATCTTTTTCCCGACCTATTGGCTTAATAACCCATTCATACACAAAAGAATGTTAGTTCCTCCAAGGCATCATAATCATGTGTTGGAGGCCATAATTCTCAAGAAGGAAGGAAAAATTCCCAAGCACACGGAACCAAAGTAATAAGTGACCTATTATGCAAGTCTCACATTGCACATGATAGATTACTAGGCAAAAAGAGCAACATGAAGAGCATACTTTTGACATGATAGACAGAACCAAATGAAGTAATATGATGCTACCAAAAAGAACTAAATGAAGTACACATGCCGCCACCAAAAGGAAAAGGGAAGGATTTAAATGTATCAACAAGTTCAACAAAAGGGCCATTCCTCCATGTACACATTTCAAAAATAGAGATTTATTTTAGCACTCTAACATGCTTTCTTACGAGCAAGTAGAGACATATACAAATTAAAAAGATGTGTGCAAAGTTGTTCTCTACCTTTACAGCGAATAATAGTCTCTATTGAATCAAGATCTAGTTGTTCAAATTTCATCCATTCATCAAGCCTCCCATTAACTCGTCAAAGAGTTGAAAAAAAAATATAGACTTGAATAAATACAACTTCCAAAATCACCGTAGTTTGTGATTAATAATCATGTAGAAAATTACAAAGTGATCACTCCAAATAATTAATCATCATAGCAATATTTATATAGATGGGATGCCAATCACCCCAAACTCGTTGCACATCTTAATTTTTTTCAACATAATATTCTAATACCGAGCAAAACATTTTTATTGTTCCAGGTTTTCTATAGAATTAGGTGACATAATTCTATCCTTAGATGTGAAAACAATAAACCTTGAACATGCACCTTGAAGAACTTGAGTGAAAAAGCTAGAATTTTCCACCTTGCATAAAAGTCACAATATCATCCTATAATGTATAAAAAATCTCTTCTATTGCAGGTTGGCATACTATCATCCTCTTAGTACGAAATTGCATAATCTAATATCCACGGAATAACTATACATCCCTCAAAGTGCTACTCCCGAATTTAACATTAAACTATTACAAGCTTATATACTACAAAAGTATACCGAAAAACAAGCGAGACATTGGCGTAACCGAAGCACATTATATTAGATGAAATTGCAAATTAGGACAAGCAATTGAAAACTTCAAAGTCAAAATAAGAACAAGACGAGTTAGCATATTACATTGAAAATTTAAAGGTAATTAGAAAAGAAAAGAGCAGGTAATCTAATTGATTGGCCACAAAATTAATTTAGCATCCTTACCATCAAAGAAGGACGAAGCAAAGGAGAATAACAAACAAGCGAGAAGAGAAGAACTACGAAGTAGAGGAGAAGAAGCACGAAGCGAGAGGAGAAGAAAAACCCAAAGAGGAGAGGGATAATTACCATTAGAAGCTTTAGAGTCTATAAATTTTGCTACCATGCATGGGGGCCTCTACCGACTCATGTCTAGTCCACCCACCTAAACATTAATTCCGGGTTTCGGAATAACGGTATTAAAATGATAGCATAGCAAGGTAATTGAGACGAAGCGGGAGAGAAACAAAGTCATCTATGCAAAATTATAATCCTTTTTCCCGTTCAAATAATCAATCTCGGTAAAGACTTATATTAGTTTGTTCATATAATCAATCTAAGTTTGTAAATCAAAAAACTATTAACCTTGGTAGTGATTACATTGAGAAAACAATCTTTTGATTTATTTTCTACTCCAAAACACTAAAAATGAAAAATAATTATTACATTGAGAAATATTTGTTAGAGAAAGAGAAAAGGGTGATGTTAAGAACCTTGGTAGCGATTCTCACGGGTGGCACCACGAACCAATTCGGTGCAAACTTTCTCAAGGTTTTTGACATTCTTGGAGGAAAGGGTGATACCGATCTCGTGAATGCAGCTATCGGGTTCGCTATAAACCAAGCTTTTGCTGCCATTTTCTCCTTTTGCTAAGAGAATTGGAGAAACAAGGACAACGTTTTGCTTGGAGCGAGGGAGCCATGAAAAGGAGAGGATCCGTTGCTTGTCAAGGCAAGGATTTGGATCTTGGAGAGGGTGAATGAGAGAGATCCGTCGCTTGCCAAGACATGGATCCGGATCTTGAAGAAAAAACTTAGAAGTTCGGGAGGGGGCGAGATAGTGAAACGATTCTTTCTAAAAGAACTAAAAAAAAAAAAAAGCAAAAGAAGATTTGCTACTAAGGCGGTTTATAAAACCGCCTCATATTTTTTTTTTTGTTTATAGGCTATGTAAATTAAAAGTTATTAAAGTGTGAGGCAGGTTTATTGATCGCCCCAAACATTCTGCCTCTATAGGCCTTTTTTGGTGCGATGAGAGACGGGAGCTTTTTGGCATGTACCCGGTGTTAGGGGTGATTTTTAAGAATAGAATAATTCTAACCATGCTCGATGATTATGAGAGTAACAATAGCGTAATGATACCTTTTTTTGGAACTTTTTATTGAATATTTTTAATTTAACCCTTGCTGGTCAATTCTTTAGGTTTTCAAAATAGTTAATTATTTTTTCTGCTCGAAAACATTGTATTTTTCTTAATTTAAAAAGTTCAGCACATAGTTTGTTTGTTTTTTACTTTCTTCCTTAAGAAATTCTGGTTCTGCTCCTAATTGGTGATGATTTGAGTTTGGGCCGTGTTTAATAAACTATTAATTAAGAGTTGTATGTAAACACGAATACCATACTTAACATTTTTATTAAATTGATTCTTAAAAGAAAAACTATAAGAGAGTTGGGTCAAATATGTGAATTGCTTAAAAATTAATGACATGAATAATACGTATATGTAAAGCATAATGTTAAACAATTGACATTACTTAACAAAATGGAAGCAATGGGAGCACTCTGTTATTATTATTCTATGTTATAGTTATAGTACTATTAGTGGCAATCAAAATAATTACGTTTATAATATTGTTATATACGATAACAATTGTTATAGTGAAAATAATTAGATGAATAATGTCCCACTTACAAAGTTTTTTTTTTTTTTTTAATATTGGTTTTGTATTGCAATTTCTTTCATAAGTTTATCACTTTTTTTTTCTTTTTATGGCTATATTATATTGTTTATATATTTTTACCCACTAAAAATATTATTATTGTATATATTTAGCATACTTATGAGAAAATCATGTATTATTAAACTTTATCAATAATTATTTATGAATTAACAATCACCATTATTATCCATATAATCCATAAGCAGGATCACAATCGTTATCGGTCATTATTATCCACATATATAATCCGTAAGCAGGATCACAATTGTTATTTAAACCATAATCGCAGTATGGTCAAAGATTTATAAGAACAAGTTTATGCCCAATCATATACGGGTTTTAGCATTTAAAATTTAAAATTTAAAAGGTTTGTGGCTAGAGGAGTCCATAAACGAATGCATTTACTAAGAAAAAAAATGCTAACATCATTTTTTTTAAAACATTTTTTCTTAACAGTTAATAAAATTATCCACATCAAACTTTTTTTTAACTACTTTTAACATCCAAGTAAAAGAATAGTAAACAAAAGATAACTTATGTTTCATGTTTTTAAAAAGTTTTTAAATTACAACAAATTTTATATTATTATTTTTTAAAAAATACTCATATTTATTTAGCTTTAAAATTATTTGAAAAACCATATTAGTTGAAACAAGAAGTTAAGATTTATCTTTTCTTTTCTTTCTTGAATGCAAACATGTAGAGGGTGTTTGATAACCTATTTAAGTAGCTTAAAAAATTAAGTCGTAGTACTTAATATCAAAAGTTTGTTTGATAACCTAAATAATTTCATATTAAAAATTTAAGTTCAGTCAAAATCTACTTAATTAGGTAAGTTAAAATTTTTAACTTATTAATTTTTTATTAACATGCTCAGTTGAAAGATTTTTAGAACTTTTTAAATATAACTATATAGTCCTCATATATTTTTGTAACTTTAGCTATACAAACCAACTCGAAAAACAATCTCTACTATTCTTATTGTCGAAACAAAAATGTCCTTCTCCATTATCGTTGCTTTCATCCCATCATCATCAACAAACTACTAGGAATCCGAGACGTCAAGATCTAATCCCATCGTAGGTAATTTTCCTTAGTGTCCGTTAATATCTTGATTGTTTTTTCTTTTGTATATTTTTTTAGAGAATGACTGATTCTTTTTATAGATTGATCGGTTTTAATTTCGGGTTTTGGTTAAAGATTCTAATTTAGACACATAACATTTAGCTTATACTTGCTTATAGATATATATGTTATACTCGGATCCTCTTTTTGTCGGATGGTGAAAAATTTATTCAGTCTATTGTTACTTTGGTAGCAAAACTCCTAGTTTTGAATCTATGAATTTTAATATCGATTGTTATGTCTTATTTATGATCATACCTTATAAGCATCGATTGTATACAAATTTCTTGTCTAGCTTTGCTCTTTGCTACTTGTTTCTTGGTTATGACTTTGTTCCATTCTCGCTTATGCGGTTAGTTATCTTCTATCGCTACATTTAGGCTTGTCAATTAGCATTTCAAAGTTTGGCGGTAAAGCTTTGCTTATCTTACTAGCTTGGAGCTTTATTAATTCAATCCTTTCTCTTGTAAAAAATAAGTCCAAGAAAAGAAAGAATTTTACTTTCTATGTTCATTTCCATTTAATAAATGTATTATTTACTTTAATTGGCGATTCAGGTATAGGAAAATTTACAATCAAATTTCTATCAAATTCGTAAGGTTGTGCCAACCTTAACCATGGAGACATTTTGTATGCATCAAATTTCTATCACCAAATATATGATTTTTGGTTGAGAGATTAGGACAAAATATATTTCATGGCTATAGAGAGGCTTTTATTGATCCCATCACCAAGAACACCAAATGGTACTCAAGATTTTCCTAGTTTACTTGTTTTATCTAATAGTGTTGTAAAAGTCAATTTTGATAATCTAAATTAGCTTCAGCTATACCCAATTGCATGTCAAACATAGCTATATTTGTTAGGAGGAGGAGGACAAAATAAAAAAAGGGGCGATACGCATATCTTTCCCTTAAAAGATAAAGTGCAATTGAAAATGAAAAAATTAACATGTAAATACCTAGCTGGTAACATCAAATGTCCAAACATGTCACAACCTACATGACTATGCTATTCTCTAGGAACAAGTCCTACTCGTCATCATCATCCTCCTCTACACTTCCCTCTTCATCATCTTCATCTTCTTTATCGACCCAAAAACAACTAATTTATTAAAAGTAAATTAAGCTTTTCAATACCACCTCCTCTCCATTCAACAACAATCGATTAAGTTCGATCCTCTAAACACACAAAACAACCCACATCATATATGCTCTTCTTTAAGCAATCTTGACCTCAATACTTTTAGGCTTCTTTGGCTCAAGAGGTGGTAATTTCTCAACAATAACGACCAAACCCCATCTTGAGAAATAGTAGAAATAGCATCAATATTAGCATTATCTAGCAACATAAATTTTCTCATAAACTTACCAACCCTTCTTTCCATTCTCACATACCCGGCTCTTTCTTTCTCGCTCCCCACGCTTCCTCTCTCCATTAATAACTAGCACATTGTCATCCTCCACTTGAACCTTGATGTCCCCCGACTTCAATCCCGGCATATCAATGATGAACACATAAGAGTTTGGATACTCTTTCACATCGGATGCATTTCTAACAATATAACGACTACAACATTCATACTTTTTAAAAGCACCAGCTTCCTAATCGAAACTAATAAACTCATTCAAATACTAAAACATTCAAAATGCCCTAAACCCAACAATAACTAAAGAACAAAACTCTTAAATTTTTTTTTAGAAATTAAGATATTTAGGGGAAAAATTAGCAAAAACATTAAATTAAGAGACCCATATCATATATGTTCCTCTTCAAGCTATCTTAACCTTAATACTTTTAGGCTTGTAATGGTCAAAACCCCATCTTGAGAATAGCAGAAATAACATCAATATTAGGACTCTAGCAACACAAATTTCCTCATAAACTTACCAAACCTCATTTCCTTTCTCACTCGCATGGTTTCTTCTTTCTCCTTCCCACACTTCCTCCGTCCACCAATAACTAGCACATTGTCATTCTCCACTTGAACCTTGATGTCCCCCGACTTTAATCCTAGCATATCAATGATGAACACATAATTAGAAACTAATAAATTCATTCAAATACTAACACACTCAAAATACCCCAAACCCAACGATAACTAAAAAACAAAATCCGAGCAAAAACTTTCGTAAATTAAGATATTCAAGGGAAGAAAATTTGGAGAAACATTGAGTTAAGAGACCCACATCATATATACTCCTCTTCAAGCAATCTTGACCTCAATAATCTTAGGCTTGTAATAGTAAAAACCCCATCTTGACAAACAATAGGAATAACATCAATATTAGCACTTATCAACCCAAGTTTCCTTATAAACTTGCCAACCCTCCTTTCCATTCTCACATACATGGCTTATTCTTTCTCCTCCCCATGCTTCCCCTATCTACTAATAAGTAGCATATTTTCATCCTCTAATTAAACCTTGATGTCCCCTAACTTCAATCTAGGTATGTCAATGATGAACCCATAAGAGTTTGGATACTCTTTCACATCAACTAGTGTTGATGCCATTGCCTTAGCATCATGCACATAAGTTCACATCAAGATTATGAAATCCATCTCTCTTTTTTGTTTGTTACTAGATCTTTTAGAAGAATGCAAAAAGAATAAAAAAAAGGTTTGGGTTGTTGATTCTTCTAGTGCTTGTAGAATTTTTTATGCTTTTCTGTGGCATATTTGTTGAGGGGATGGTGGTATTTATAGTGAGATATGGGTTTTAGAGAAATAGGGATGAAAAGGGAGTTTCTGGAGAGATGTAGGCAATGAAGGAACATTTCAATGGTTTGTGTTATGTTGGGCTAGGTATACATGTTGGGTCAAGAATGATATAGAAGCATTAAAAAGCCCAAAATATTGATTGTCTAGACTATTTTTAGTCGCTCTTCCTTTTCACTTGTTATATCAATTCCTTCCTTCTTATTCAATAAAGCAAGCATTATTTAGGATAGTTTTAAGGGATAGTTTTTAGTTTATACATATTTGCATGGTTGTATATTATTTAGTTTCTTTTATATTTTTAGGACCTTAGTTTGATTATTTTTTAAAACATGTTAAGGTGGTTTTTGTGGTGTAATTTTGAGTTCTAAAATTATAGTAATGTGGCTTTTGGTATAATCATTTTATTATGTGTAGGAATGACCTCTGAAGATAGTGCTAGAGCCAATTAGAAGGACCCTAAAATAGTAATTTTCTTTTTAGATACATGCATTGAACAAGTGAGTATTCTTGGAAAAAATAGAGAGAGCTTAAAAAAAGAATCTTGGGAAAATTTAGTGAAAGCATTTGAGGAAAAATGAAAAAACATGTTAAGTTTTCTAAAAAATAATTGAAGAATGAATGGACATATTTGAAAAAGAAGTATATAGTGTGATAAAAACTAATAGATAAAAGTGGGCATGGTTATGATCCAGGTGACTAATTCTATCAATTGGATCGCACGAGGGTAAAACCATTATGAACATGTATTATTTCTTTTATACATTTCATTCCCTAGTAGAGCTTAAAGTAATTAATCATATTATTGGTTTGATATATTTATGTAACTGAATAATAATGAAGCGAAACAGTTTCATTATGTTGGTTTGCAATTTTTGGATGAGATGAAATCATTATTTGATGGAATTTCAGCCATTGGAAAAAGAAGGTTGGGGTCCTTCTAAAGACACAATGCCTATAAATGGAGTTGCTTCTTCAAATTCTTCTAAAGAATCCATGCAAGCAAATGGAGCTAGTTCTTATTTGCCAACTCGAACCAATTAGAAATTTTTTTAAAGAATTTATTGATTTGGAGTCTAATTCTCTAGCTCCATTTTCAACTCCAAAAGATGAAATAAAAAAACCTGAAAAATATTGAAAGAAGAATAAGGATGATGACATTGATGATCATTTGGTAGTAGTATCGAAGACACTAGAAGAATCGAAGGACCTAGTATAGAATAGTGCAATAAGAAGTTAGATGAGATTAAGACTTTAGGAATGCATAACCCTTTATATATAGTTGCATATACTATCTTTTGTGAAAGCAAAGCATATCAAGATCCTTCATGTAAATCCAACTCACTATCAAGAAATGTTAAGAATACAAAAAGAAGCATTCTTAAATTTATGTGATTATTTCAAACAAAAAGGATGATAGTCGTTATATTAAGGTTGAAGAAAAAATAGCAATGTTTTTGATAACTTTAAGTCAAAATTTTCAAAATCATACTGTGAAATAAAGATTTAATCATTCAATTCAAACAATGCATCACTATTTCCATGAGATGTTGTAAAACACGATAAAGTTTGCAAGAGAAATGGTTGTACCTATTTCATTTTACCTAGATTTAAGTCAAGTTCAACATCATCGTTGACTTCATCAAGTATTGTAGGTTATACATGTAATTTTTTATTTCTAATCTTATTGGTTTGTTTATTTTAAAATTAACTATTTATTTATTTATAGGATGATTTAGGTGCCCTTGATGGGACTTTAATTTGTGCTCGTTAGGTCACTCGACCAATAAATCCCATATAGAGGGAGAGGATGAGAAGATTGCTATCAAAATGTTCTTGCAATATGTGATTTTGATATAGTTTTTACTTTTGTTTAGGTCTGGATGAGAAGGAGTAGCACCGATTCAAGAGTATTACCGTAAACTATGTGTGACTCATCAAATAATTTTCCCATCCTCTACCCGGTAGGTTGTTTCCATTCTTGTTAAATTCTTTTTTATAGAAAATTCCCCTTATTTTTTTTTAAGTTTATTAATAGGTGTATTATGTTAATAATTTTTACATTTTTCATGTAATTTATTATATTAATATTTGATGGTAGATAAATATGGTCTTTGTGATGCTGCATATATTCATACTAGAGGGTTTATGGCACCATATCGTAATATATGATATTGGTTATTCGATTTTCACAATGGTCATCATCCAAGATCAAAAGAAGAAGCATTTAATTATGCATATACAAAATTGAGGAATGTTATTGAACAAGCATTTGTTGTTCTAAAAGCAAGGTTTTCAATTCTAAAGACAATGACCCTATGTCCATTTGTAGTTCAAAGAGATGTTGTTGTTGTATGTGTTATAATACATAATTATCTTTGAAGAATAATTGTTATTGATAGCTTTTTTGAACAATTTGATGGCGATTATGTGAAGTATCAAACACCAAATGTTACTATAAATCTACCATTCATCGGAGGAGGGACGCAAGTATGAGCTAATCAAACATTTATGATTAATTTGTGAGGCCAATTTGCAAATGAATTGATTAGTATTTGAGATTTTATTTATTTTATGCATTATACGAAAATTAATATTATGTTAGACCGTGTTTAATTTTTTATTAATAATTATTTTTATTAAATATTTATTTATTTATTTATATATACAAAAAAATCTATGTATATATTTTTATTTGGGTTAAAAAATATCATGTTATAATTACAAGATTAAAATTGTTATGTATATAGCCTTAATATTTTCAGCAATAATATTTATCAAACAAGCTTATTATATTCAGCACTTAATTTTCAGTAAATACCAAATAGCTTATCGGGAATATATTCAATACTTAATTATTCAAGCACTTAAAATTCGGTACTTAATAGATTGAGTACTTTATTTTTAGTTTTATCAAACACCACCTTAGTGTTTTATCTTTACAATAAATGAATAATTATCCATTACACCGATGTTTTATGCAAAAGAATTAAAAAAAAGTATTTTAGTTTTTTAGATAATATGAGATTGGTCATAATTTTTTTTTAAATATAGGGCATTAGTTATCTTCTAATTGCTAACATTTTGCTTAGATGTTTAAGATAGTTAAAAAAAAAATAGCATAGACACTTTTATTGAGCACGTGTCTAAAAGAAAATGTGAAAGAGAGGGTTTCTAGTATTTATCTTTATTAAGAAACCAAAACATTGGGATATAATTGGAAGGGTATGCCGAGCTACTACTCGTAGTGCAATGTAGAAGCTATGCTTGAGGACCCTAGTAGCAAGCTATTTTGATAAGCCCTTCCCCTAAAAAAATAAATTTAATATTGTGTAAGCCATTGGCCTAAGTATAAGTTATTAAACTAATAAGAATAGACACTACATTTGACATTTAATCTTAGCCAAAAGGCCAAGAAAGGTATGAGTTCTAAAGAGTGATAGAGCTTTATTTTATACAACTTTTTCATTATTCTCACAATATGGGATAAACAAAATACAAAAAAGGCTGTCCAATCTCTTGGAGGGTGAAAAAGATATGCTCTTTATGTAGCTTATAAGGGAGAACATATATTGGAGAGTCATTTAGGCTCGTATCTAGGGCATACGAGAAGATTCACATATAAGAATGTGTTAGTATAGGTGTCCAAGATCCAACCATGTTTCGATCGCCCAAGTTAATGTATTATTGCATCATTCAATGAAGAAATCATTTTATTAACTCTTATATTTACATATTGATAAATTTAGTAGAGTTAGATAGAAGTCCTTATGATATGTATTTGTAATAGTGATTGATCGAAAGATGTGAGACACACACTAATGCACATAAATGATATCATTAAATGTCCCAAGTCATAACATTGTCGAGAATGGACATTGACAATATATGGATAGACTTGTGAGTGCTATGCTCATGCTATATAATAGCGAGTAGGAGACTTACACCTATTGGCATGGTGGTGCCAAAGCAAGCGCTTAGGTGATTCATGTTCGAGAACATATCACTAGACTTGGCTCGCCATGAGAACCCATTTGGTTTTAGTCTATGGGAATCTCATACAAGATGGGCACAAATGGTCCTTAGACTTGAAGTCATCACGGTTATCTCATTGGAGGACTTATACACTTTGACACTCTTTTCGATGAACCCATTAATAGGTTATATGTGGGTGATTTGTTGGGTGCACTAGGAATCCAATGGAGATAGTTATATGACTAAGATAGGATATGTCATTCCTTGTATGATAAAAGAGTTATCACATTGCACTTCAATAAATGTCTACTCAAGAAATCTGTGACC